AAATAAGGCCACAGCATAAAATGGGAGCAGGGTCGGGATCTAACTTATGACGACACAGAGGATAAATCAACAGGGTTTCTGTTTGCTTCAACGCAAAAAGAAACATCTTATTCTTACCATCATGGATTTCAGACACAACTAACTTTTATTTAAGGTTTGTCCAGAAGTAATGACAGCAGCAATAATATCCCCACTTCTCTCGGTGCTTCGTACTTCTCTCAGTGTTTTATTAGTTTTAAAGTAAAACAATTGTAGAACAGAGAGTTCTTTGGGATTGTAGGTTCCGGGGGGTTTTCAAAATGGGTGGGGAGAGGGATATCATTTATCAGTGACGACATGTTCTACTTAGTACCTAAGCATACGGCTTGAAACACCACTTTTTTACGGCCCTGTACAGCCAAGAAAAATTCCCTACTGGGACAATAAAGTATTATCTTATCTTATTATCTTATCTTATCTTATCTCTTTATCCCTCCAGAGAACTACAGGCTCGGGTCTAGGGTGGCGGGAAGGCGGGGGCGTACTCCAACATTGCAGTCAGTTCTACTCACGATAGTACCACCACATTTTGTGTTATCACAAACGAAATAATTATCTCAAAACCCAACACACTGACAAACAACTTTAAAAAGCAAGAATAAAATGCAGGCATAGAAATGGATGCTTAAGTAAACAAAGCTTTGGCGGCAGATATCAATTTTTTTAAAACCCAACAAAGTGTAACAAATTCATAGATTACACAAGAACATCATTACGGGAGAAACATAACATTCAGAAAAAAAGTTGAATAACATAATATTAATCTCACATTTCGTACATGGCAACAAAGCAGAAAAATATCAAACACCTTTAAAACTTAACGTTGATTACAATAAACTTACACAGCTTCACAGCCATACCAGTAAAAAATTTTTTAGATAGATATCATTTCCACATGACGTTCACTTTCATTGGGTCTCATCCCACTCGATTTCCTGCCCAATCAGTAGCAAGGGCACGCTCATATAACCCTATGCAGTTGTGAGCGCCGTAAAACTCTTACTAAAACAAAACAAAACAGTAACAATTATATCAAAGAGAACAGCACGTGTAAGCCCTTGCTCTGACGCAACAAAACAAAACTGCTGATGCTACAAAAGAAATGATGGATAACAAAAAAACGAAAGAAAAAGAAAAACAAAGGAAAAAAAACCCCGCGCTTACTAACTGTGATCAAAACAATCCACTCTGGTATTTCAAGCCATCCATATTATCAGGAAGGAAAAGCCGACAGGCAGTGCACAGATGTCGATTACGTTTTAATAATTCTAAATGTCACTGCCACACGCACCCTATAATTTAACGATTATCATAAACACAATTTTTGGTACTTGCTCACAGGTATCTCTACAAAGTGATGCATGATAAACTCGCGCAAAAACAAAACAGCACGCAGAAATAAACAAAGCAACACGAAAACAAGGACAAAGACGGAATAATAGCAGGCGTACATGGAGGAAAATAGAACCGATTAATTTGAACGTAGTTGTATTAGTTTACAAAAACGTGGGGATCAAGTTGCCAACTTGGCGAAAAAACCGTGACTTTCGAGTTTCAACATTTGCGTGGAAGCTATGAGATGCACGCGGGTTTGAGCATGAAGTAGATAGATAGATAGATAGATAGATAGATAGATAGATAGATAGATAGATAGATAGACAGAGAGAGAGAGAGAGAGAGGGAGAGAGAGAAAGAGAGAGAGAGAGAGAGAGAGAGAGAGAGAGAGAGAGAAAGAGAGAGAAAGAGTGTGTAAAAGAGAGAGAGAGAGAGTGCATGTGTGACATAGACAGATACGACTGAGAAAGATAGTGCACGGATATAGATCGATGAACTATAAACCGTTACATGGGCAGGAATACTTCCACATCACTGCGCTGGCATTTACAGAGGAGTAGAGGAAAATGTCAGCCACTCACTGTTGCGCAAAACAACATGGCAAGACTCTAGAAACGATCCCCGAAATTGCTCCCATTTCATCAAAGCTTTCGGTTTCAGAACTCAGAGACGTTTTCTCTTAGATTGGCAGTGAGATCAGATCCTTTTTCAATAAAAAAAAACAACCCCCCCCCCCCAAAGATTTGCTACTGTCTTTGCTACTTTTGTGATTAATTCTGTCTTCATGTTACAGTAAAGAACGAAGAAGCACCTGATTCAGGAAAAAGAAGACAAAACAATTTTATTAACCCTATCAGTTCGCCCTGGGATCATTTTGTATCCCCAGGGTTGTATTCTTCACATTTTAGAATACTTCTAGTACGAAGATCTCTTTGAAACTTTCATTATTTCTCCAAAAATCATTTTGTCAGACTGCTACTGCTACGCAAAGCGTACGGATCGGATTAACGAGTAAATTTCCTCTTTGGAGTTCCCCACATCGTATGGATACGATAGTAAAACACGACATACAGACAATACGAACAAATTTCGTATACAGTGCTGGGGGACAATTTTAAAGATCAGAAACAAGCTACTTTAAGTAACAAAAGGGCAAATGGGAAGGACTAATAGAAACGAAAGAAGCTGGGTGTTGTAAAGATTGGGGAAGGGAGGGGGGGGGGGAGAGAGAGAGAAAGAGAGAGAGAGAGAGAGAGAGAGAGAGAGAGGGGGGGGGGGGGGGGGGATAGGTAGAGAAGAGATGAGGGGCAGGGGAAAACCATTTACTGTACCACTTTTATTGAAGTCGACAAATTAAAATAACATTTAAATCTTCAATTAACTTAACAAGAATGTGGCAAGAAGGAATATCACCTCGGTTATCGCTCAACGATAAGGATAAAAAAAAAACCGGACACACACACATACATACACACATACACAACAATAACAACAACAACAACAACAACAATTCACAGCGACTTGAGCATGACCTTCACTTTCATGGTGTATTATAAGCAAGGACTTTCTCTGATACATGTAACAACATTCTGTGAACTTTGCGACGATGACCTCGCCCAGGATAAGGACAAGCGTACACGAAGACGGAAAAATCAAAAGGTGCCGTTCCCTGCAAAACAACCAACCTAGCAGTGTCAAACATTCCAATTAACACAATCAAATTGTTTCCGCTGGTAAAATATACGTTATGCAAAAAGACAAATTAATTAAGCATAAATATAGGTCGTAACGAGAATAAAATAATATACATGTACAGAGAAAAAGGACACATATGTATCACAACAAAATAAATAGGTAATTCTTGGTCTATGGAACAGAATGTTTGATTCATATTGGCAAAACAAATAGAAACAAAAATAAATCAAGGTGGATAGTGAGCTCATGTTGTAGTAGTTGTTCGAATGTATTGCATTAAGTAGACTCATCACGGATATACCATACTCTCATAAAGAGAACTGAATCACGCCCCCAACCAAAAAACAAACAAACAAACATACATACACATAATCACAGATACACACACACACACTTTAACTCAGCAAGTCCCATCATAAGTACTAGTTTTCACATAACCTCGTCCACAATTATTGTGTAGATTTTAAGCTATTGGAGCCAATATAATATGTGTTTACCCACACTATCAAAAATAACCATAACCTTGGAAAAATACTTTAAAAAGCGGGGAGAAAAATTTAGTCGCAAGTATTTTACCAGCCCTTTAGACGCACTCTTGTGCCTTGACTCTTTTGGGAAACGTGTCCGTTTAAGCTCCCGCGTTAATTCAGACACATGTCCATTTAATCTCCCGTGTATATTCGGACACGTGAGTCCTACCCTAGTATGAATGCGAGTACCGCGCATTGTGGGTCTTTTTCTTTTTGAAAATGACGTGCTTTTTCTTTTTGGATCAATACATATTTGCAGTTTGCACAAAACTGCATTCTATTTTTTTAAAATTTATAGCATGATGAAAATCAATCGTGATTGTTTCGTTTCTTGGCGTAAATCGACCTGCAATACACGTTTTTAAAGAGGGAAAACTGTTCTTTAAAAGGATCGTGCCTGTGCCCGAATAGACACTGTGTACATATATGGAAGGCGACTCCATTATTCTCAGCATTTCTGAACTTCTCACAGCCTTTAAAAAAAGAATTACTTCAGTCTTCAACAAGATGCTTGTCCAACAAGAATGGAGACGAAAGATGGGGCTTTAAAATAAAACAACAAATTATGAACTCGCCAATCGAGCTCGTTGAATGTTTGAAAGTTTTGAGCCATTCGGGAGGTGTACATACAACATAAACAAATAGTAAAACTAGAAAACTATTACATCCCTGCTATTCTCAAAGTGCGCTCTATATAGCCCATTATTCAACACTTTTTGGATCTCCCCTCCTCTCCCCCCCCCCAAGCAATCCCCGCTTGTCTAGCTCACTCCAAAAAAAACCCCCATCAAACTATTCTTCTCAGGGTAAGAATGATAGCGCTTATAAGGTATACATAACCCTTGCATTTTTAAGACGGCTTTCTCTCTCAAAGAATAAAAGTTCCACATGAGATTAAGCAAATTATTCCAAAACGAATCGGTCACAACCATTCAGAACATTTTCCGGATATTTCCTAATAAAATGAGTTTGACAGAAAAACAACAACTAAGCATAAGGTTTAATTAAAATTTGAGTTTTTAGATTGCATTCTTGAATGTTCTTTTCCAGGTAGACAAAGTTCTAATAAACCTAAGATGGCGCAAGAAAAACATTCGCTGAAAGCAAGGACAAAATTAATAAAACGTGAAGAAAACCAGAAGTCAGGTAAATTAAAGCAATGAGAGAATATTGAGCGTCTACCTACAGGATAAATAAGATGTGTTCCATTATGATACATATATTATTTGTTATAACATTATACTTAATAATATAATATACAATGCATCTACATACACAAATATTCATATACATGTATATATATATATATATATATATATATATATATATATATATATATATATATATATATATATATATATATATATATATATATATATATATATATATATAACACTTTAGGAAAGAAGGGCACAACGAGCGTGACGTCATGGAATCATCGGTACTGGAAACAAATCTGAAGTAGGCAAAGATGATCCAGGAATAATAAATAAATATGGAAAGACAAATATATACACAAGTGATTACAAATTACCATAAAATTGTATCTCTTGAACACTTTCCACATAATATATGTATAATATAAATAACGTGTCAAAGTTATTGTTCAGTTTTCTTTAAATGCAGTACAAGAGTCCTGGCTCTCTGAATGTGTACAATTCTTCACGGATCCCGATGAAACATACGACGAGAGACCAACAGCTTTCAGTCCGAACGGAATATCCTGGCGCTGCTCAGAAAGTACGCAGTTGGTGGAGACAGCCAAGCCGACTGCAGTGGCGGAGTGCCATAATAAAAAAAAAAAAATATGGTTGTGGTTCAAGCCATGTCTTTGTGGAAATCCGAAGCAGAGACGTTGACATGAGGGGCGTCGGGGAGGATTCTTGATAAGATGTATACCTTGATGTCTTTCTTTTCTGTGTGGCTCTAGGCGAGGCGTGAGTTTGCTGCTGTCCAAACTTAAGTTTGATAACCCAAAATTCAAAAGATATTTTTCTTTGCGAAATACCATATTTCCACGAGTCTAAAATGTAAGAATTAATAGGTCACAACATTTTTAAAGGAGTTAATCAAAAGTAGCTACCACACTTAAATAACGAGCAAAGATAACGTTCCGACATTTTTTAAAATCATGAGCGAATGGCAATCTTCACTCCGAAAAAAAAGCTACAATAATGTAGTAAAACGTATTTTGTCGTTGACGGAACATTAACATTTACAGGAAGCTCCTCTGAATGATCTGTAAATACTTAATGTCTTCCATTGAAAAGAAAGTTATGAAGTTACAGCCTTCATTAAGTTTCCCCTGATATTGACCTTCGCAAGCCTCCTTGATAATAAACTAAAGCTACTAACCTTACTGAAAACACACATGCACTCACGAGACAACAGCAGTCAAAGTTTGCTTCAACAGATTATACCGCTGTCATTTGTGTGGTTCCAGTGCAATCCGCTTTTCCATTGTTCGTCAATGTTTGATTAGCATTGACAGACAGTGTCTTCTAATCCTTTGGCATTTGGCATATGTCACGACCTCCCGAGACACAGCCTCGGATATACTTTATTCCTGCATCAAATGCCATCCCTGAGCTAGCCTCAAGGGGGACAGTCCCACCCCATTTCCTCAGATAGATGCACTGCTTCCAAAAGAACAAATAACCTATGCAAGACAAGGAAACATACTAGTTGTTTAAAGTTGTGGTGAATAGCGCTACTCTTGTTATACATGTATCTATTTACCGCATGCAATAATATGCAAAATGGAAACTGAGGAAAAGATTTAGTAAGAAAAGCTAGTGGGAGGAGCGGGTCACACTGACTCGTCCTGTTGTCCCACGACGTCGTGAAATCGGAGATGAATCGCTGCCGCAAAGACAATTCAGCTTTGTGGAAATCTTCCAAAAGACCTGAGCTAATTTTACACTACCATCCATGCACCTTGACATTTCGCTCACTTTTATGCCTTCGATGGTCTTTGGCTTTGAAAACACGACCTCGTAGCGTGTTCTTTGTTCGTTGTTAGCTTGGAATAACAGGTCATTTTAAAACGCATCACAGAACACAATCTGAGCCGTACATGTATGCCTGTACAATTTCGCCATCGTGAGGAAAACATTATAGTTAACAGAAGATAACAGCCACATGGGAGTTTTACAAGTGGCTGCTTCTCTTAAATGATGATGTTTGTTACAGGAAAACAATAAATGTACCCGTCCCCTGCTTCCCATCCACAAACATGCTACTCAAGCTGAGAGGAAAAGTCTATTGTTGCCTTGACACTTCTCCATTCTCGGCACAGCTATTGTAAAACGAAAACAGGATTTAAAAAAAAACAACCTTGACATGAGTAAACAAGCATTAAGCAACCTTTCATGCATAATACAAAAAATATTTCTACTTTCTTCTTAGTGTTACACACTCTATCACAGACAACTGGATTCAGGATAAACATCTTATTTCCCGGACAGCTGTAGAATTCCAAGAGCATGCATGTTCCTATGAGTTATTAGTCTAGCTGACCTTTGTTTGTCCAGCCTAAGACCAAAAAAGTGGTTGTCATCCCCCCACCCTAGAAAACGCCATCCGCCTCTTTTATCGCCCACCAGCGCCACACAAGATCTGAGCATCTCAGGGTACCGTAGCCACCATGAGTTGTGTCACCGAATTTCTCAAGACATCCTGGTCAGTCACTCCTCGTCAAGTGGCCAGTCACTCCTAGCCAAGTCGTCTTCTACCGACAAGCGGACCGTGTCTTGAGATGGCTCAAGTCATCAACACAATACAAGTCATACTAGGTGCCCGAACGCGCGCGTCTCCAAAAGAGTTACACAAATCCAGCACACCAGGAATTCTCAACTTCTAAAAAAAGACCGACTCGCAGCGCCAAAAATTGCGTCGACCACAACTTTCTCCAGAATCGTCCAGCATCCAGCCAAAGGCAACACTAGGCCTACTAAAAGCGCCTTTTAAATGCAAGACACCATCACGTCAATAGTCCAGATATGATCAGTTGAACAAGAAACCCCCAGAAACTTCGGAACAACGAACATTTCTTCGAGAATTCAGGTTGAAACTTGGAGCTGGCACACACCCGTCCACCGACACCCAGGAAGCTGTCCCCACCAATCACAGATATGTCCTATGGTTGTGCGTCCAACATACGCCACAGCCAGTACATGTCAAAATGTCTTAACGTGCAATGTCCTAGCAGTGTGGAGTGTTAACCCATAAAAGTCAGTGCCAGAACGTTATAGCTATATATTCAGTATTATCGCCAACAAGCCGTCAGTTGGCATTGACGCATCCAGCATTAACGCGTAGATATGTCCAGCAATTAATCTTACAACTCTGAGACTACCACAAGATCGTGCCGGAATACTATAGCTATGTCCAGCACTAACTCTTACCATCCCATGCTAGAACATCTTAGCTGTATCCAGCATTAACTCTTTCAAGTTCGTACTTACATACCACAGCCATGTCCAGCATCAACCTTTAACAAACTTGTGCTATATATATATATATATATATCGAGCATTAACCCCTACAAGTCCATGCCAGAGTGTCTCTTCATATGCAGAGCCAGGTGATCGCTCCGAGAGAAACAGCGGGTACAGAAGCGGCACTGGAACGGTTTGGCGCCTGTGTGTTTGCGGTAGTGCCTCGTCAGTTCGTCCGATCGCGCGAACCTCCACTCACACCCTTCCCAGGTGCACTTGTATGGCTTTTCTCCTGATCAGAGGCAATGGGGAAAGGGATAGAAAGAGTTGAATTATTCAAGGGCTGGATTACCAGTTAAAATCATCAACCACATACATGTGTATGTGTGTATTGTGTTAATTCGTGTAGAAGAGGAAGGAGAGAGAGAGGTATGGAGAGAAAGAAGTAAAAATAGGGAAAGAGAGAGAGAGAGAGAGAGAGAGAGAGAGAGAGAGAGAGAGAGAGAGAGAAGAAACTCGAGGAGAAAATTTGCTGATGTTTGCTAAAATTGAAGAAAGTACAGGAGATCTATAAGCGCTTACGCCTCTAAGCTTTGTAATCGACGGTGATCACACCGCTAAATACAGACAAAAATAGAACCCACGATAGGCAGGTTACGCGCTCATTTTTTTTTTCAAAGGGGAACATCGACAGGAAATGTTAAGAGCAAGATGAAGAAGAGCACCGTGATCCTTCGCTTGAAAAGATGGACGGAAAAATAAGCTACAGTTTTTCTTCTAACTGCCTCGCTCTGGTAACGTCAATTGTTCAAGATAAAGAGCTCTCTTGGATGGGCAGACCATAGTGTCAAATTCCAGACCAATCGTACACACACATTACGAGCACAAAAAAAGTGATATTTGGAGGCGATCTGTTGACACAACGCCAAAACTTGGTTCTATTTTTCCTAAAGCGCAACGCCATTCAACACTCTTTTCGAGGCCAGCCTAGGTTGTTTTTCAGAACAAACGATCGGTTTGTAATTCTTTATTTATTTTTTTCTGGAAAATAGCCCTACCGCGGGCAGTCCCCCTAGAACATAGCATTTAGTGAGAAAATAATGTCAGATTTAGTCCTCAGTATGCAATTTGCTGTTTCGATCTTTTGGAGAACGGATTGCCCCTGAGATATAATATTATGGAACAGAGGTCGGCAAACATTCTGATAATACTAACCCATGCAAATCAAAGGGTGTTTCTCCCCCCCCCCCCCCGAAGGGAAGGCAGGGTAGGCAAAGACTTACTTAATCAAGTCCATTTTGGTTTATCAGCCCTTTTCGACAATGCGACACATTTTTTTTTACCTAGTTGACTATTTCTCCGAACGCTAGGGAAAATAAGTTGGAACTTTATTTCTCCGAACGGTTTCTCTATCTCAAGATTTTTTGATTATTTGCGAAATTTAAGGCGTCATCCTTTCATAATTTCATTCTGCCATTCTGCGAGGACTGGGAGGAAGCATTTTTAGCATCGAATTCAATTTTTAGAGCTAGAGATTTTTAAATGTAGAATTGTAAATGGGCTGATTTATCAATGTCATGCTCATACTGTGCCGAACAACATAGGGGGAACTGGTGCTTTTTCTTTCCGCATCCTTACTATCGTCATTTTCCTCTACTTTTTTTGTATGTTTGCCACTCTCATGTGAACTACTATTTCTGGGGTGCCTTGATAGTCGAAGCAGACTTTGTGCTGTTGAGGCTAGAGAGGTGAGCAGAGTAAGCCTTATTCCCCATTTGGAATTCTCTGTTGACATCCACCCCATGGTGCTCATATCATGTCGTCAATTTAATATCATGGATAGGCAATTTTCTTACCAACCGAACCCAGTATGTAAAATTAAAACATTCTTCATTGACATACATCACAGCAAATACAGGGGCCCCTCAAGGATATGTTTTGTCACCAGTTTTATTCACACTATACACGAACCATAACGAAACCGCTTACCGGAATTTAGTACTTAACTTTTCTGAATGGTGTGAAAATCATAAGCTGCTTTTAAATGTGAAAAACCCCCCAAAAGAACCTGTCGTTGATTTTAGAATAAAGAAACTGCCCCTGCAGCCACTCAAATTTAAATGTGAAAACATCGAGCAAGTGTCAGACTATAAGTATTTGGGTGTTACAATAGACAACAAACTCAACTGGCGTGTCCACACTTCTCTCCTGCATAAAAAAGTGAACAAAAGACTATTTTTTCTAAGGAAGCTAGAGTATTTTGAAGTTGATAAAACGTTGATGTCCATGTTTTACCATTCAACCATAGAAAGCATGATCAATTTTTTGTATAACAACATGGGCGGGAACACAAGACAACAAGATAAAGAAAAATTAAATCGACTAATACGGAAAGCATGTAAAATTTCAACATCTTCATTCCCCTACTTGGATGAATTGTACAAAACAGCTTGCACTAAGAAAATTAATTCCATCTTTTTAGACAACAAACATCCCTTGTTCCCTCAAATAAAAACATCAGTCAGAAGTAAAAGACCTATCCTTCTGATCTGTAACAAAGAAAGATACAGAAAGTCATTTTTACCATCATCTATCAAAATGCTTCCATCTAAACCATCTTGAATAAGTATACTTACGACCTTAGAGCATGCATCAAAATAACATTGAGTGTGTATCTAGCTTACGATTATTATTGTTTATATTGCTGCTCATTTATATTATGCATGTGATTGTAAGCCTACTTGTGTGTGCATGTGTGTGCACGTGTGTGTGTGTTTGTTTGTGTGTGGGGGGGGGGGGGCGTGTGTGTGTGTGTGTGTGTACACGTGGTGGAACACCAAACCAATGTGCCAGGATCTGGACAATAAAGATGTATCTTATCTTATCTTATCTTATCAATACGCAGTTGCGCGCGCGGCAAAACCTTACTAAAACTAAAAATAAACTGAGCAAAGTGAGGCTTCAAGAGTGCTCATTCTCAATCTGGGGAGGGGCTACGTATGAAGTTTATCTATGGTCATTATGGTCATTCATGCAGCAGAAATATCGTGTTGGGAACGGGGTGAATTTTTTACACTGTCTTATACAAATGTACCAACCAGGAACTGTGGGATACGGACTACCTAGGTACTCTCAGTGGGTGGGTTGGAGGCGGAAACGGAGATAAAAGGGAGGAGGGGGGGGGGGGATATGGAAGTTTTGATAAATGTAAAGGTTTACACTAAGGAATATTTACCACCTCCTGATCATTTGCATCGCAAACGCCGTGCCACCTCAATCCAGAGAAACGTATTTACTCTCTCTCTCTCTCTCTCTCTCTCTCTCTCTCTCTCTCTCTCTCTCTCTCTCTCGATCTCTCCCTCCCATCGTTCCTTTATTTCAAGGAGTGTTACCTGTATGTGTGCGTAGATGTGCCTTGAGATGAGAACTTTTGGTGTAGACTTTCTTGCAGCCGCTGTACGGACATTTGTGAATTCGCCGCCGGCTGTCTGGGCTGACCTCTACCCTTGACCTTTGACCCGGAGGTACCATGGGCGGTCGTTGTTGAAGGTTCTGGAGAGAGTGAGCGCCGCTCACCAGACCGGCAGGGTGACCAGAGGGGAACGGGCCGCCGTGAGGATGGTGATGTTGATGATGCGGTGCTTGTTGTTGGTGCTGCTGGTGCTGCTGTTGTTGTTGCTGCTGTTGTTGTTGCTGTTGCTGCTGCTGTTGTTGCTGCACCGCACGCAGTTTGGCAGCGTGCGCCGGGCTGAGGATAAGTCTTTGTTGTTTGGGGATGAAATCGGCGGAGAAGTGGCGGAGGGAGACCGTTTCTGTCCTGCCCGGCTGCGCAACCAGTTTGAGTGCAAACGGGTCGTTTGATTTTGGCTTGATGGGGGAGAGGGGCGGGTCGCTGATGTTGCTGTCCCACGACACGCCGCTGGAGGAGGAGCTGAAGCTGTGTAGGCTGACAGTGTCCGAGAGTCTGTCCGACAGTCTGTCGTTGATGTTGAGCATGGCCAGGGCTTCCAGACGCTCCGCCATCTCCACCTCGTCCTCCTCGCTGTCTTCATCGCAGTCGTCGTCGTCGCAATCGTCGTGAAGGTCATCGGGGTCAACCTCCGACTCCGGAACTTCCGAGTCGGTGAACTCGGCGGCGTTGCTCGGCCCGCCGAAAGAGGAGCAAGAGTTCTCATCGTCCGCCGCGAGTCGCAGGTCTGCGGCTGCGCACAGCTCGAAGCCGTTGTTAAGGGCAACGGGCGCTGCAGCTACTGCTACTGCCGCTGCTGCTATAACGTCGCCGCTGTTGCTGTCGTTGCTGCTACCGCCGCTGCTATTATTGTTGTTAGCAGCGCTCGACGTGTCGATAGTGCTGATGTGTCCTCCACCGCTGTTGCTGTTGTTGCAGCTGCAGTTGCTGTTGTTGATGTTACTGGGTGTGTTGGTGATGATGGTGTTGTTGCTGTGGACCCTGTCGACCTCA